TATGGACTTCATTAAAATACACCATCTTTTTATTATATGCTTTATATCTACAGAACAGATGTAAACATAACATGTATTCATGAGTTTATATCTAACAATTCTGAGTTCACATCTTGCAACTCTGACTTTGATTTGTAGCAGATGTGAGCTTATAAGCTTTTTCATAATTCCGACGAATAATTCTGATTGCAGGAACACATTTAAATATTTTATACTCATGAAAGACTAAAATCTGAACATGTAATACACATAAATGATATTACAATTCTTGTTGTTTAAACATTAATAATAATAATTGCACCATTTTAAACACATTTTTTATTGCAGTTTTAAGTTGTGTAAATAGCCACTTGGAAATGCAAGACACATTATAAAAACATTTCCGAGATTCAAAAAAAAAATCACAGAATCTTTTTTATTCAGTGGCTTAAACAAGGATACATGCATTTTACTTTTACATAAAAGGAAAAATCTATTTATTAAGCGACATTTGAGTAAATGTACACTGTCTGGTCCTGTATGGCTGTAAGGTTTCAGTTTTTTTCCATACAAAGCACGTCATTGGGGTCTTTAAAAAAAACATAGGTGATTAAATCATGACAGAATTTTCCTTTCTGTGCAAATTGAATAGGATGAAAGGTCTCACTTCTGCACAAGTGGACGGTGGGTCATAAAGTTCCATTACATTCAAGCACATGTTCTCCACTCTTTCAAACCCTGAGATCAAGCGAGGCACTCAGTTAGATGGCTCACTAATTATGAGGAATAACTTTGTAAATCAAAGGCTTTATATGGCCTCAAAATAAACAAATTTGTTGGTTAATGACCACCATCATAACTAAGACCTCTCTGAACCTTGGCTTGGAGTCACGGATGAGATTACTTTCCAGCGGCGCTCCATAGATCCAGTTACATCAGGTTGTTTTCTGTGTTCCAGGTGAGTGGTGCTACCAGAGCCAGCTATCCTGTAACCACACGTGTGAAGGTGAGAACAAACACACGCGATAGTTTGTACCTACACTCAAGTTTTTGCATAGTCATCGCTAAATCAAAGTCCTCGTTGACAGTTTCTCATTCAATCCAATGCTGTTGAGACCATGCAGTGTGCTTTATAACTGTTTTGTTCCAGGGCCTTCACAGTGGAAAATAAATTATACAAGTTGTGGAGGTCAGAAGCAATCGCCTATCAACATCATCACAAGCAAAGTGAAGTATGACCCAAAACTGACCAGTTTTATCTTTCATGGTCATGAGGATGCTTTCAACATGAGTGTGGAAAATCATGGACATTCAGGTGAAATGAAGTGAAATAAATGTAGCCTGTTAATATTTATTTTTTGTTTGGAATAAATATATATACTTTTTATATTCTTTTGTTTTATAAATAACAGTACAACATAAAAGAGATATGTGATCCTGGACCACAAAACTATTCATAAATTGTACACTTTTAGAAATTGAGGTTTATGCATTAGCTAAAATTAAAGTCCTCATGGCGATTAACTTTTTCCACTTTTTTTATTTTACAGCCTTATTCCAAAATGGATTAAATTAATTTATTTCTTCAAAATTCTGCACACAATATCTCATAATGACAATGTGAAAAAAAATTTTTTTAAATAGTTTTAAATTTATTAAAAATGAAAAACCTAAAAAATCACACGTACATCGGTATTTACAGCCTTTGCCGTGAAGCTGTAAATTGAGCTGAGGTTTATTTTGTTTCCACTGATCATTCTTGATATGTTTCAGCAGCTTATTGGAGTTTGCCTGTGGTAAAATCAGTTGATTGAACATGATTTGAAAAGACATACACCGGTCTATATAAGGTTCCAGGGTTGACAGTGCATGTCAAAGCACAAACCAAGCATGAAGACAAAAGAATTGTCTGTAGACCTCCAATCTGCCATTTAATCTGAGTGATCAGGGGAGAAGGGTCTTAGTCAGGGAGGTGATCAATAACCCAATGGTCACTCTGTCTGAGCTCCGGCGTTCTTCTGTGGAGAGAGAAGAACCTTACAGAAAGTGCAGCAATCCACCAATCAGGCCTGTATGGTAGAGTGGCCAGACAGAAGCCATTCCCTGGCTGGAATTTGCCAAAAGGCATCTGAGGGACTCTCAGACCATAAGAAACAAAATTCTCTGATCTAATGAGACTAAAATTGAACTCTTTGGAGTGAATGCCAGGCGTTTTGTTTGGAGAAAACCAGACACCTCTCATCACCAGACTAATACCCTCCCTACAGTGAAGCATGGTGGTGGCTGCATCATGCTGTGGAGATGTTTTTCAGCATCAGGAATTGACAGACTAGTCAGGATAGAGGGAAAGATGAATGCAGCAATGTACAGATACATCCTGAATGAAAACCTGCCTCAGAGTGATCTTGACTTCACACTGGGGCGACTGCTCCAGCAGGACAATGACCCAAAGCACACCACCAAAATATCAATGGTGTGGCTTCACAACAACTCTGTGAATGGTGTTGAGTGGCCCAGCCAGAGCCCAGACCTAAATCCTATTGAACATCTCTGGAGAGATCTGAAAATGGCTGTACACTGTCGTTTCCCATCCAACCTGATAAAGCTTGAGAGGTACTGCCTAGAGGATTGGGCAACCATTCCCAAAGACACATGTGCCAAGCTTGTGGCATCATATTCAAAAAACATTTTTACATTGTCATTATGGGGTATTGTGTGTAGAAAATTGGCTAAATATTGAGAAATTTCATCGAAGTTACGATCTCAATTAATATTAATATTTAAAACATGAGTTTTTATGTATTTACAGTAGGAAATGTACAAATATGCCCTTAAAATACACTTAAATTTAAAGCATTGAAGTACTACTCGTGTTCACTTAAATGTTGTCTTAAATACTGTAATAATGTATTTTTAATATTAAAGTTACTAATATATTATGCGCCTCTTCCCAGCTCACTTCACACTTCCTCCATCAGCACATCTCAGTGGCGGAGGTCTGAAAGGCAAATACAAGGCTGTCCAGTTTCACCTGCACTGGGGAGAAAATGGCAGTCAGGGCTCAGAGCACTCTGTAGATGGGGAGCGTTATCCCATGGAGGTGAGAATCCATCAGAATTAGACAGCTGCCTAATGTAGGAACAGCAAGGGAGAGCAAAGTGGAGAGGGATTTAATTATTATTATTTTTCTTAGAATTGTTACTGGACATTCACTTGAAATTATTGTGCTTAAATGATGAATTAATCAATGCATTAGGCACCAATAATAAAAAAAAGATTTTTTTTTTGCGCGGAGAGACTCAGCTTTTTAAACTTGTTTTGTATTTGCAGTGTTTTGTGGGGTGTCAAAGTGTGCCTTGCGTTTTTGCAAAAATGTTTCAAGAGTGCCTGAATTTAAGAAAAGTCAACTCTGAGCTGGAAAGCACCCAATGTCATTCGTGTGTTTTTTCCTGTTGTTAAATTAAATTAATTGAATTAATTGCTGTAATTAAATTAATTGAAATACCAATTTTAAAGGGCTCATGCTAGACTGACAAGACAGATGATTATTTGGTTGTCTATAAAGATTAAAAAACACAGCGCACTGGTCTTTTTTCTAAATTAAAAAAGCCAGTACGATGCTTGATGCATTTTCAAAACCGAAAAATGTGTTTACTTATCTGCCAGGCTGCCACTACTGGCATTCTTTGTAGGTATATAATGCAATGCATTGGCAATTTGCAACAGCAGTTGTAGCATGGTTGCATGTAGGGCTGGGTGATTAATCGAAAAGTAATTAATATTGACATTCAGAACCTATAATCGATCTCATTTTACTAGAATGGTTTTTTTCAATTACTTTCCATACCACTTGTGGAGTCACGTGACTCGACTCTGGTAAAAGCTAAGGCTGAATTATATTTCTGCAGCCACTTTGCAGCCACATCTGATCTCTGAAAAACACTAAAAATAATTAACTTTGTTTAAAAAAGTGCAAGTTATTTAGTCAACGTGTGTTTTAATTTCAGTTGTTCACCACTGATGTTAAATAAATATTCATAGATTGTAGATAGCGTGTGTTTCCTTCAATTATTAAAAAATATATATTTTTTAGACTCTTTATTCAAAAATCTTGTGTAATATGTGAGCACATTTACTGTACAAAACTTGTCAGTGAACTATGAGGGCAAAAAATGTATTAAATAAATAAAATAATCTCTCCTTAATTGTAATCAAGTTAAAATGTTCAACTAATGGAGATTTCAATTTTAGACCAATCGCCCAGCCCAAATTGCTTAGTAATGTTGCAGAATAGAAAGAAAAAAGAAAACAAACTTGTTTAGCATATGTAATTTATCAAACAAAATGTCCCACATGTATCTTAATAAATGTTGGGGTGGCATGAGAGTCTTTCGCCTAAAGTGGCAGCTGAGCTTGCAAGAAGACCCATTACAGTCTTCAAGTTACTATATGGCTTTGTTTACAAGTGTTGTATTTTGGTCCATGGGATCACAAGTATACAAGAGAGACACATTCTTGTTCATACCTGATGATTTAATTACATATTTATCTTCTTTTAATTACATTCCTGTTTTTGAGGCCTATAGCCAGGTGTACGTGTGGGCTTTTCCTGATCATTCAATCTAGTATTGCAAAGTAAGCTTGTGCAATACAAATAAAGGTGATGGAAAGCTATAAAGTGAGCAGCCACTTTTTTCCACTCTGGTCATACACCGAACGCTATGGGTTTGTTTTCGAATCAGGAATGTTAAACTTTTTTCATCATTAAAGCTTATTTCTGAGAGCAACGTTTACACCCCATGCTTCAATAACATGTTGTGTTCATTCATTTTCTTGTCGGCTTAGTCCCTTTATTAATCTGGGGTCGCCACAGTGAAATGAACCGCCAACTTATCCAGCAAGTTTTCACGCAGCGGATGCCCTTCCAGCCGTAACCCATCTCTGGGAAACATCCACACACACATTCACACACACTCATACACTACGGACAATTTAGCCCACCCAATTCACCTGTACTGCATGTCTTTGGACTGTGGGGGAAACCGGAACACCCAGAGGAAACCCACGCAGACTCAGGGAGAACATGCAAACTGCACACAGAAACGCCAACTGAGCCGAGGTTCGAACCAGCGACCTTCTTGCTGTGAGGCAACAGCACTACCTACTGCGCCACTGCCTCGCCCTCACTGCCTCGTTTTACTCTACGAACGTAATTTGGCCAAATTTATTTTCAACCAGTAATGGCCTGTGTATAGTGCAATATGAATAGCCCTTGACTAAAAGTTCACAAAGACGATCTCCTAACTGCCATTTATTGTCTAGGAATGGGTAAAACTGTCCTTCAAAATCAAAATGCTGCACACAGGGTTAACGTTTCTAAATAAAAATTATAAATGAGCAACAGTAAATTATTTTCAAACACATGCAAAGCTTGTGTCTAATGCAACCATAGCAACAAAAAGAGCATGTCAGGGGGTCATACATCATTTCTTACTTGTTACAAATTACATCTTGAAGTGGCTGAAAGTGGATTTTTTTCATAACTTGTTTTCACCTGCATTTAGAAACCAGTCGTGAACTGATGTATAAAAACTAATCTCAATACCAAGTGTGAACGGGCTCAAAGATGAATACTATTTATGTGTTTTGTCCCTCAGCTCCATATTGTTTACATTGGAGAAGAGTACATCAACTTGACAAAGGCCCTACAAAACTCTACAGGGGTGGCAGTACTCGCCTTCTTTTTTGAGGTACGGTTAACTTTTGTCTCATATTTAAAAACAGTTTTTTTCTGTTTTCATGAGTAATTTTATAGTGCTCATGCATGCTAGTCTGAGAAGACATGATTGTTTGGTTGTTTATAAATATATATTTAAAAAAAACAAAACAAAAAAAAACAATGATCATTTCTAACTTAAAAGTATACCCAAAAAGTCTAAATGACTCAATGGGGATAGAGCACTTGCCTTCTTTTTTGACACTTTTCGTCAGATTGTCTCATATGTATAAAAAGAAAAGCCCTTAAAGAGCCCTTAAAGTGCCTTGCCTTGCATTAGTCAAATGAGTTAGGTAAAATGAATTTGTGAATGTTTAATAAATTCTATTTTCATTTAAGTTTAATTAAAACACCTTTAAACATATTTTCTATGCAGGTATTTTTATTTTCATATTACTTTTATTCATTTTAGTAAAATAAACTACTTGAAAATTAGAAGTCATTGCTTGGCAACTAGTTCATTTATTTTTAAGGTAAAGTTTTTTAACTTTTCAAAGTTACAAACAAAAGTTTAACACACAAATATTAAATGATGAGTTTGTGAAGAATTTCTATGTAATACAGGTGAATAAGTGCTAGAATTTAAGATCTAAAACAGAAAGCAATGTCATCTCTGATTTGATCAAACCCAAGAACCAAAACTTCAGTTCATTCACAGATGTGATATTACATGAATATCCCATGTAGAGCTAGTGAAGCGATTTACAAAGAAACAATTCTAATAATTTTCAGCTTTACCTCATATAATGTTATCATATTTTAAGAATCTCCAAATGACTACTTTTATGCTCTACTTTAATGTTGACCTTTTGTACTTTTGAGTTTAACAGCACCAAACTTTATTCACTTTGCAGCCATTTTGGGAAAATGCCATTAATTAACCATGTATATAATAACTTGATTAATCCTGGACTTTTGTCATCCACCTTTAGGTGACTGCACTGCAAAACCAAAAGTTTGAGAGAATCATAGAGGCTTTAAAAAAAGTCAGACATGAAAGTGAGTACTTTTCATTTTTGACAACTAAATGTCTTATTCTTTATCCATTTGTAAATGTTCAACATGCTTTCTTTTTCTGCTATTTGACTCCTGATCAAAAGACACCACCAGTAAAGTTGAAAACTTTAAACTGAGTGACATCATCCCTCAAGTCAATAGCCAAAAGTACTATCGATACTCAGGCTCCTTGACCACACCAAGCTGTGAAGAAGCTGTTTTGTGGACGGTATTCCAACAGACTATAGGCATAAGCAAAATGCAGGTACAGATTTTTTCTTTTTCTTTTTTTTTTTTTTTGCATAAATCAAATAATTGTCCTTTATTATTGTTGTTTGTAAGACTATACAAATGTGTTCCCAGCTATAAGTTAAACTTTATAAGTGTTCCTTTATAAGTCAAAGGATCTTAGTTGTCAGTAATCCAGACTAATTAATAATGGACAAACTTGTCCAGAATTTCACGCAAAACTTCTGACATTGGTAAAATCTCATTTGATGTGAAATTGTATTGCAATGGTCATTAACTGGTGGTCTGCAAACAGGTGGAACTACTGATCAAAGACTATTGATTTTGGCCAAAGATCAGAGGAATCTGTTAGATTTTGCCAAATTAGTTTCAGAAATCATAGTATGTTCACCTGGCTTTAATTAACACAAAAAAGCCTACAGTTTTCATTATCTCAGGAGACACTCTGGAGATCTCAGTTGAAGTGCCTCTGCTATGCTTTTTTTGAATATCACCATTCATGTAGTGTGTAATGTAAATGTTTCTGAATGCTGAATTCATCAGCATTTTAGAGATCAAAAAACACAACAAATACAACTATTGCCTCCAAAAGAAAGAATTCGGAAATACCACTATAAGACTTAAAAGTGCCATAGAAAGAATTTGATATACCTAGGCGTAGCTGAATAAAACGAGTTCAGTACATTAATGACACACTTTGAACCTTGCATACCATTGTTAAATCCCTGTGGGAAAAAAAGGCTAATTGGAATAAAACACAGATTCAGACGATTCACATAGAATCATTAATATGCACACGCAAGGAATAGTTTAATTGGCTAGTGGCTATAGTACATTGGCTTCTCTTACTTTTACGTCCATCTAAGCTTGCATTCAACATACTATGTGGAATTTTTATTTTGAAAATGCAAGAGGCAGGAAGACTAAAAAGGAGCAGTTTTGGCAACAACCATTTCATACATACAGCTTGTCAGAACACAAAATGCAGGATATACAGATTATGAAATGATTCAGTGCCACCTAGTGCTTAATTGGTAAATAAATAATTTCCAGAACAAAACCAGGAAATAAAAGTTACCTTGACCGACGTCCACCACACAATTCCAGTTTTCCTGGAACATGATGTGATTTTTTTAATTAACTTCAACTTTAATTAATTTGTGCCATATAACTTTATAGGTCAGTAATGCATAATAAAAACATGTTGCTACAAACATAAATCATGAACAATTATTATTCAGCTCACTTCACCATTATGTGTCATGTGAAAAGTTTTTTTTATTAAATGACTCGCTCAGTCTAACCTTCAAAAAGAGTCCACAGTTACCTCTTCTGTCATGTTTTCTGGCTGACTTGAGATCGCTTTGCTTCTGTCTCCCGCTATCCTGAGCCATTTGCGCAGTTCCAGCCTCTCAAGATCTCTTTTGATCAAGCTCATTATCAGATTTACTAGTGGTTTTTAAAAAATGTAAATATGCGGGACTGCTTGTTCACCATTTTGAAAATACAAATATTATTTAGATAGGCCACTATGCCATTATTTTCGCTGCTCACTGCGTGTGAAACAATCACCAACCAATGAGAGTGATTGTAAACATAAGAAAGCTGATTAGCTGAAAATATTGTTGAGGGCCAATAATTAAACGTGTCTTTTTACACGTTTACATGTAACATGTTAACTTACACATGGTGACTACCGTCATGTGTGTGCGCGCTCGCACACAACACACACAGCCTTCACTTGCACTCATTCACATTCTCTCTCTCTCTCACACACACACAGGTATTCACCACGCACAAGTTAATACCGGATCTAATAAAATAATTATCGGAAAGCAAAACATAGATATCTGACATTTTCCAGAACAGGATCCGGCAAGATCCGACTGAAATTAAGCACTGGCCCCACCCTGAATAGGCATATGATCTGATTAAATGTATCATTTGTTAATTGTAAAATTTGCTGGGTATGTTTACAATAGGGCAACAGACATGTAAACAGCTAGGCATAAGTGGTTAATGCAGATTCATGCATTGTGTCATATCACTCAGCTCTTTTGTACTGTCATGTTTTGCTGAGTGAAAGGATGCCAATGCGTTTTCATATATGTTAAAGCTTCAAAATACAACTCAAAATATAACTCTGCCAGTCTCTTTTGTTGAGAATAAATACAATTTAGCCCCTATTTCATACACAACACAGCTCAGGAGCAAATTAGGTTAATCTGGTAGCTTAAATATCTCTCACTCACTAGCTAAAGTAAATTCTCCACCACTTCAGTTAAAAGATTGTTAAAAAGGCGCCTACTCAATTTGTTAAAATGCCTTTTTTTAAATAAAAGTAGTATGATTATTTTGCCAGTTTTCATTCCAGTGTACATTGTGCTGTGTGTGAGTGTCTCTACACTAAAGAGTTCATTTTCAATGATTTTCAATTCTGTTTTTATATAAACACTTGAGTTCAAGTAGTGGCTTACTTTAATTTTAAAAGTACTTAGCACCTTGGCTTTGTTCTTTTTTATTTTATTTTAGATGGAATCAATGGATAAGCTGCTGTTATTCGGAACAGACAAACCAATGGCTGGAATATTCCGTCCTGTCCAGAATCTGAATGAACGAGTGGTGTACACATCTGTACCTGCTCACAGTCTGTGTGTGCTGCCCAATCTGCTCACCCTGATCCTCTGCCTCTTTTGTGTTTTGGGACAACACAAGTGTTTTCACTGAATGGCACAGAACACATCTCTTGTTGATCTGTATGGGGATGTTCTGCATTGAACTATTGAATGGAAGTTGCTGGAATGAATCTTTGTCACTGTGCTAAATCTGTGAAACTTGAAAATGGGGGAAATATTTCTTTGTTAGAATTGTTTGGTGTTCACATGTATTAATTGTTTCACTGGTACCTCATTTTATGTCCTCCAATATTCTTATTTTGTTTTGTAGCTTTCTACAGAGCCCTGTAGACCGTATAAATCATATTTAAAATTATATCATTATCATATATATAAGCAATATTATATGAGCAGCACTATGCTATGGCTGTATATCAGCATTATTGGGATACATGCAGTGCCATAGCCAGTATTTATTAATTCAATTTAAAATAATTTAATTTAAATATAAAAGTTTTCAATCAGCATAAAATTATGCTGTAAAACGTAACATTGCAGTCTAATCTATTAGCTCTGGTGCATAGATTAGATGACTGCAACCAAATATTTGCCTTTAGATATTCCCAAAAAATATATACAGTAAAAGTCAGAATTATTAGCCCCCCTTTGAACTTTTTTACTTTTTTAAATATTTCCCAAATGATGTTTAACAGAGCAAGGAAATTTTCGCAGTATGTCTAATAATATTTTTTCTTCTGGAGCAAGTCTTATTTAGTTTTCTTTCGGCTACAATAAAAGCAGTTTTTAATTTTTTAAACACTATTTCAAGGTCAAAATTATAAGCCCCTTTAAGCTATATATATTTTTAATAGTCTACAGAATAAAACATAGTAATACAATAACTTAATAACTTAACGTAGCCTAATTGCCCTAACCTGCAAGTTAAATTAATTAACCTAGTTAAGCCTTTAAATGTCACTTTAGGCTGTATAAAAGTGTCTTGGAAAATAAGTATAATATTATTTACTGTCGTCATGACCAAAATAAAATAAATCGGTGATTAGAAATGAGTTATTAAAACTATTATGTTTAGAAATCTGTTGGAAAAAGTCTTCTCTCCGTTAAACAGAAATTGTGAAAAAAATAAACAAGGGGGCTAATAATTCAAAAGGGCTAATAATTCTGACTTCATTTGTATATATTTCGCAATAGGGTACTCTATGTAAATCTATCAGACTCCTGAATACCCACCAGAAAAGTTCTTTCAGTGGGGAAGGAGAGGCTGAACTGCCACCGATGAGCTGGAAGTATCAACTCCGTAATAATCCGAACACATTTTTGAATGTGCACCATTATAAATTAACTGCATATTTTCAATCTAAACAGCTACGTTCTAGCCTGTAAAAATCTCAAAAATACATTATGTGGTCCAACAGCTGCAGTATTTATCACACTGAGTTTAGTCTTGGTTTGGCACTCGCTGTAGGTGGAGGAACACACACAGGTGAAGAGGCTGGAAGAGTGCTGATACTACTAGAATATATATAGATTAATTATTAGTTAATCAAAAAGTTAATTAATTTGTGGCCACAACACAGATATTTTGTTTGTGTGTCATGTGCAGGGCTCTATAGATTTAAATAAGTTCAGGCTTTTGACTATTTTTTTTTAAATGTTTTTTCTTCTGGTTGTTCATGATTAATGCAGTTAAAGTATTTTAAAATGATTTTTTCTATATTTATGGGAAGGTTTTTCACTGATATGTCACTGTATATGTCATTCAATAATTATGGTTCACCGTGTATGGAACTCTTCAAAATACAAAACAAAAGAGTTTGCATTTGAATGTGGCTCATTTGTAAAGTTAAGAAGACTTCAATTTCAATTACTTCTGCATTGTCTTTAACCAGAGCTTGACTTAATGTTTTGATGTGTTTTTCCAAAGTTACATTCACTTTACATTATATCAACTGAATTCAGTATCAGTAAGAGCTATTTTTCCACTCCAAAGAAAAGAGAAGAGGCTAAAGTGCCATTTGTATTTTTACTCATGCAGTTAAACGCAGCTCAAATGTAACATGAATGTTTTCACGTTTAAGTAATGCAAAAGAAATGCTATGAGCTTTTTTTAAATCAGTTTTAATATACAAATATGAAATGTTGGGGAAAATGCAATAACAGGTTGCATCAGTTGACTGTCCTATTGAATGAATCATTGAATCATTAATTCAAATAATCACTCAGACAGCAGATTCGTTAAAGAATGAATCTTTGGGGATTAATCACTGAATCACTGACTTAACTGATTCGCTCAAAAACACAATCCTTCAGTTACGAAACATCTGCATTTCATATTTTTGTAAAGAAAATACTTTTTTATTTATTTGAACACTTGGGGTTAGGTTTAATCATATTTGTTATATAAAATTAATGGCTGGTCCAAGTCAAAAATATACAAAACGACATGCTTAAATATAATTTCATGATTTTCCAAACCTGGAAGTGTTTTTTATTCTCCAATGTTTGCTGGAGAACTTTGTAAATTAAGTGTTTAACATAGCTATGATTTGATGACATACACTTGAAAAATAAACATGTAAACACTGTGCATATATGCAGGGCATGCGGAGTGTAAGCTGTATATAATAAATGTTTCCAAAATGTAAATAAAACAGTAAAGAAGTCACTGTTTATTAAAGTAATTCTTTATTGAGTTGAAACTATTTCATTGTACATATTGCTTGTCATAAAACCCTCATCATGAACCAGTGAAACTCTACTCATTTAAATCACACAGGAAAAACCCCTCCATTTCTGATGGAATAAGAGACAATAGTAGGCATAACAAGCCAAATTCATCAATGGAAGAGCACCTGTCATTGACCTTAATAAAAGTGAGACTCTTGTTACAGTTTCTGTGCCTGCAACCAAGTTTTAAAGTGCTGGATTTGAGCGGTGACGCTACTTTTCGATGTGCCACCGGGGGCGCTGTACTGTTCAACACTTTTGACGTAATCCCACACTGAAGAAACGTCCTTGTCAAAAAGAGAGCTGAAAAGAAAACAGAAGTAAACAGATTGATTTTCATTCCATGTGCTTTTATCAAGCCTTTATTTTTTATTGTGCCTGGGTCAAAAATGAGACACGCCATTTCCTTGTTTGCAGTAAAATGCATTTACAAATATATACAGACACACAAGCTCAGAGACTGATATATAGACCATCCTAAGGGATGTAAACAAAGACAGTGGTCCTTATGTGTTTCCTGTTCTACATTTTTTATTTTCTATAGCTTTTAAGAATCTAAAAAGGTCCACATATTGATTAATAATGTTATGATGGCTTTTTTGATGGCAAGTCATGATTGAATTGCCTCTTGTTACAGTTTGATAACAAGCAGAATATGTTCATGGGCCAATTTCATGACCACATTGAAATGGTCTATAATTGTCCAGTTAATAACCTGTAATATGAGCTAATAAGTAATGCATTTGTCATTCACATTAATGCAGATTTTCACAGAATGACACTAACATTATATAAAGTTTAAGGCAAAATAAGAGAAGATTTACGGCAATTTTGAACCATACTATTTTTAATAAGTAATTTCTAATAACTAAAATATTTTGTCATTACCATAAAGACTAGTTATTTTGCAAGATACCTGTATTCAGCTTAAAGTGTAATTTAAAGGTTTAAAAACGTTGATTGGGTTAACTAGGTAAATTGAACAACAGTGGTTTGTTCTGCAGGCAATCAACAATAAAATCTTAAGAGGGTTAAAAATACTGACCTTAGCAGTTTTTACTTTTTAAAAATATATATTTTTTATTAAAACCAAAATAAAGAAGTAAGACTTTTTCCAGAAGAAAAAGATTCATAGGAAATCCAGAGAGAGAAAAAAAAAAAACATAACAATTTTAAAGAGCAATTTTATAGTTTATAATAATATTTCAGATAGATGAAGAATGTCTAATACAAAAAAAATGCATAATAAACGTGATAATATCAATACTGCAATGCATTTGGGTGTGTGTGTGTGTGTGTGCGTGCGTGCGTGCGTGCGTGCGTGTGTGTGTTTGTGTGTGTGTGTGTTTTTGATTCATTTTAGATTCATTTATGCCCATAAAAACTACAGGCAATGCCAAAAGCTAACTGCAGGTACAGTAGCTGGAGCACCATTCTTAGCAAGGAGACACAAACACAAATACTATTGAGGGTTGTAACTGTTAAAATAATTTTACCACTGTTATAGACTGAGAATCGCAGCATCAGAAGTTTGGAATGGTTTGTTACACTGAATTAAATTTCCCAAAAAATGATGGACAGAACTTTGCTTTTGCCATTAATCATTGAGGGGATTCTTCGCCCAAAATACCCATTCTTAAAACAGCAAACAGAAATTATTCATGAACATAGCTTCAAACTGTTATTTTTAAGGCCCCTAGTACGTCAGAAGCAAAAAGTCCTGTAATACCAACAGTGTAAGAAATATATTTATGTACAAATGAAAGAACATACTTATTCTGATCTATTGTGGCCAAGCATAAATGTTTAAAATTACTATCAGTCAGTATTTTGGGGCTGCACTGATATGAATATATCATCAAATAGTTCTTGTTCTAAATATTTTAAGAAGATATTTTGGTCACACTTTACAATAAGGTTCATTAGTTAATGTTAAGTAATGCATTTACAAACATGAACAAAAACTAAACAATACATTTAGTACAGTATTTATTCATGTTAATAAACGTTAGTTAATGAAAATACAGTAGTACATTGTTAGTTCATGTTAACTCATGGTGCATTAACTAATGTTAACAAGCATGGACTTGAATGTTAGTATTGCATTAGTAAATGTTCAAATATGATTAATAAATGCTGTACAAGTGTTGTTCATGATTAGTTCATGTTAGTAAAGGCATTAACTAATGAACCTTATTGTAAAGTGTTACCGATATTTTAATATATAAACTTTTGCTACACTGAATTATATTTTAATGGTTAAAAATCATGATAAAAATGTATAATCATTTCATTTTGTTGTTGAGAAACACATTCGAAGGTATGGGGGGTATTTAAAACCATATTGAACTATTTTCACCTCATTTATCTTTATTTTCCATCTTTGTCCCATTACTAACCTGACCGTCTGAAGGTCCTCTACAGTGAGTTGGGACAGTCGAATGTTTTTAGATTCCGCGATATAGACAGCTTTCCCAGCACAACCATGAGCCTCTCTGAAAGGCATCTTTAATAAAACATGAACAAACATCAGATTTCATTCAGCTCTGCTCCAATGCAAATAGCATTTATTATAAAAAAAATATCTAGCCTTCTGTACTCACTCCTTTTCTGACCAGATGATAGGCGAGATCAGTGGCCAGCATATCTGGACTGAGGGCTTCTTCCATCTTTACTTGATTGACCTTAAAAAAATGGAAAGATATAACATATTGCGAGCAGAATCTACCATTAATAGAAAAACTACTCCTGCTGCTCAAATTTCACCCTGACAATGGATTACTACACATCCAACAGGTTTATACCTCATTCCACTTAATTAATTATTTAACCAAAGTAACATTTTGCTTTTGATTCCCATTGTTCATGATAAAACTGCATTAACTTGTGATGTAACCCGTCTCTCACCTTTAGAGTTGAGATGACGCCTGTCGCCACCTGCAGCACAGCGTGTACAGTATCATATGTATCAAACATGGCTTCTTTATCCTCCTGCAGTAATGAAATCTCGAATTAGGGAATGTTTTCATTTTTAAAGGTTACATTTGACAGTTTCTTCCTGTAGTTGTGGATTTACCTGTAAGTCCTTGTTGTACGTGCTTGGTAAGCCTTTGAGTGTCATCAGAAAGCCTGCACACTGAATTAAAATGAGATTTGATTTGAGTAAGTCTCAATGTTTTTGTGTATAAATATTAAAAATGTAACTTTTAAATGTAAATTCTAAATGTGAACTATAAATAAATATAGTTTATAAAATCTCTAGCTATTAATACATCAGTGGATGTACTGACGTTAAAGCTGATTGTGTTTTAGATACAATGATGCATTGACTGCCACCATTTATCAATTGATTATTGTTTTAATTCACAACCATCAACTTATTGAATACTGCATGAAAAAGAACAATTTTGTTAAGTCAATGTTTGATGGCATCTACCGAAACGAGGATGTTATTAAATAGGCTACATTTTATACAGAGTTATTATCAGAGAAATTCTGTGGTTTTAGCAGTGGTGGAAAGAGTGCTGAAAAATCATTTTCAAGTAAAAGTACCATTACTTGTCTAAAAATGTAGTGCAAGTAGAGTAAAAGTATCTGTTGTAAATATTACTCAAAGTATGAGTAAATAGTAGACCTTTCAAAACATTTCAGGAGTAGTGAGTAGTGAGTATTACGCGGTAAAAAGCTGATGCGTTTACATGTAATTTGTGGATGTGTGTAAACGTAACATTCTGTAGTGCAGTGGTTCTTAAACTGTGGTACGTGTACCACTAGTGGTACGCAGGCTTACTTCTAGTGGTATGCTGAGGAATTGCTGAGTAATGAATGAAAAAATGTATAAAATTTTGGCTGTTCTCTAAGACCTATGATCAAAGCCCTGTGCTTAAAATGTTTACTTTAGTGTATTGCGTCTTCAGCTGCTAAAAATCAATCCAATTGGCGCAGAACTAGAGAAAGAGGTGCGTGGTGCTTGAAGAGCAGATATGTGATAAAGCAGTGGTACCAGGGCACACAAAAAAATCATTAATTATTTCCATTTTATATATTATCTAAGTCTGTCCGATCATTTTTTTTGAAAATTCTTTTGTTTTGGAAAAATTGCAGTGTTCTCCTTTTACATCTTGATCACTTTTTAATAATGTTTTTAATATGCCAAAATTTTAACCACAGGCTAGCAAAATGAGTAAGAACTGCCAACGAATGGATGCGCAACCCATTTGTCAACAAATCAGGTAAATCCAGCATGAATGTGCAAGAATATCAACTGCTGTAGATCGCAAATGATGGCGGCTGTTCACATATCGTGTCATTTCCACCTGCAAGTTTGTTATTTATAATGAAGGCGACAGCATCACAATGCGCTTGCGTATTCCAGTCGTAACATGTTGAAAACATCTTAACTTTTCAGAATGCCACACCACGAGTCACGTGACAAGAACTGACTGATTAGCTTCATATTTTATAATTTCGGTAGACTAATTATCTCAAACTAAGACAAACACAGAACACAGAAACACTGCAGTGCTATTTAACTTTCTCCATAAATAAAACTTGTATCAAAGTGGAACAAAGTTTTGTCAGCTTGACATCCTCTGAGAAAAACGGGTTCCCAAGCAATCTACATACAAGTTAATGTTTGGATTTCAAAAAGTTTTACAAATATGTTATATGTGCATGCAACACATATTTAAAAAATTATTTAAAAAAATATAAATATGAATATGACTCTGTCTCGTTTTCGAACTGTGCAGTGCTGTAGCTGCTTAATTTGGCCAACTACACTACTTTCACACTACACTTTATTTCAATACTGGTCATTATGGTGGTACTTGGAGAGGCAATTTTTTTCTTAGTTATTGCCCAGCAGGCACACAATGTCATAAGATGTCAATAATATGTTAGATTTAGGTTGTGATGTCAGGTGGCCAAAATTCAAAGTCTTGCCAGCGTCAAAGGACAACGTTATTTTGAGATCCAATTTGATGTCAAATGATGTCGATATTTGGTCGATTTTAGGTTGTGTTAGAAAGTGACCAAAATCCAACATCGAGCCAACATCTTAAACCAATGTCATGTTGACATCAAATACTGACTTTTCTTCATCAGCTATGGCAAACAAAATCCAACATCTGATAGACGTCATAGTGGTAACGTCTACACAACGTCAAGCTGTAACATCATTAGACGTTGATATTTGGTTGATTTTAGGTTGGACATTGATAGCGGCCTGACATTGGGTTCTGATGTCAACCTGGTTTTTATATCCAAACAAAATGCAACGTCCCCACAAGATGCTGAAATTTTGTGCATGCAGGGTGTTTAAGGCCATTTCGGTCATTATACAGTAAACATCTGTCATCTTCTCATCAGTGACATGCAAATGTACTAGTAAAAGTACACAGTTTTAAAACTACTTAATAAATTGCAATTCCTGAGAACAAAAATACTCAATTACAGTAATTGGAGAATTTGTCATTTGTTTCTATTCATATGATGGACAGTGTGCTGGTTCATCCCTCTGTTAGAGGTAAGGCCATGCGATGTACGATGCCATAATGAGTAACGAATAAACGAATGAAAATACAAAGACCTATCCATATACACATATAATGTAATGCTGTACAATAACGTGTCATTTGTTTGTTTCGATTGTTTTCATTTGAATCATTTCATGATAATGCGATTGTGTGTTTTGTCAGCCTGATTTCCGCTGAACTGGGCGGGTTGTGTGACGTTTGATTCAGAGGACATTCTGGGAATGGGGTTTGTGCGACTGTTAGCTCGATAGGGGAAACGTGACATGTTTTCTGCCTCACTGCTCAAGCTCCAGGGCTATTGGCACGACCTGGCCTGATAAAAGCCCTGGCTCGCAGTGGCCTGACAGTGGAAATGCAGCAATTCACACACACACACACTCATACACTATTTAGTTTACTCAATTCACTTATACCAGAAATGCCTCCTAACATTCTCGGACCAGTGAGCTTTTTGCTTTGAGGCGAGTTTTTTTTTGGAAAAACTTAATTGTTTTAGGTTCAAATCAACTTAAACGATGCATGTTAGGACAACATAAATGATTTGTGTGGAATTATTTGTAAAATAATTAAATATTTAACAAAATAAATGTGAAATCTGTATAAAATATACTTAGGTAGACAAAAGGCAACTTTTAGAGAGTTCAATTTTCCACAACCGTAGTTGATCCAAAGTGCTTGACAATATTTTTTTTTTTTAAAAATGGTATTTAAAAATATAAGAAAAGGAAATATATATGTATACAAATAATACTAAAATACAGATAAGAACTAACTAGCATGTGTCACTCAAAGGTGAGAGAATAAGTCTTTAAATTAGATTTAAAAGCATCCAATGAAGGAGAAATCTTGACATTCATAGCGAGACTGTTCCAGAGCCTCGGGCCGCAACACAGAAAACTCAATCACCTTTTGATTTGCAGCGAGACCGAGGGACAGGCAAAAGAAACTGGTCATATGATCTTAACGGTCTACAAGCTGTATAAGGCCTAATAAGTTCACTGACATAGTCTGGGGCAGAATTGTGCAATGTTTTATAAGTGAAAGGAAGGGTTTTAAAATCAACTCTAAATTTTATAGGAAGCCAGTGCAATAAGCCAAGGACAGAGGAGATATGATCTCTTTTCTTAGTTCCTCTTATTAATCTGGCGGCTCATTCTGGACCAACTGTAACCAAAAGAGTGTTGACTGAGGTAGACCAACACATTTTAATCTGTTTTTAATCATTTGCATTATTTGTCTTTATTTTCTTATACTTGTCTTTTTTTATTCATGCTTATGTAAAGCACTTTGAATTGCCACGGTGTATGAAATGTGCTATATAAATAAACTTGCCTTGCAATGTACAAAGAGTTGCAGTAGTCTAACCGAGAGGAGATTAAAGCATGTTACAATTTCTAAATCTTTTTTATCTAAGCAGGAAAAGGCTGCTCTTCACAACTCTTTTACATGTTTGTCAAACTGCAAGTGTGGATCAAAAAGAACTCCAAGATTCTGGGCGTGATTGGGCAGATTGCAATAAACTAGCTAATATAGATCATTACTTGTAGCTTTGAATTTTGCTAAATAAATTATTTAATAAATTATTATTTTAATAAATGAGCAAGCCATAACTTTCGGCATCAAAATTGACCAACAGTTGTAACTTATCACTGTCATTAAGCAAAAAAGGCACATCTTAATTTCATTTGAATTAAATAAACTTAAAGCAAATTATTTAAAAAAGTTAAATCCTTCATTTCAATTTTAAATAAAAAAATTTATTTAATCTATGAATTTGTGTCATAAAACAAATTTACAGTATAAAAATGAAAAATCATTTACATATTTTCTGAAGATTACTTTTGACAGTGTTATGAAATTATACATGGTCAAATATTACCTTTAAGTGGCATTTCTATAACAGAATAATATAAATAAAACACATAAATAAAAAAATATAAATAAAATAGGCAAGCACTAATATACTGTCTAAAATTATATGATCAGTTAGTCATGACAGCATGTTTTAGTTCATTGTAACTTATTAATTTAGGTTAATCATGTTCTAACTTAATTTTCTAAGTTACGCAAGCATTGTTAAGTCAGTTCTTATATAAGGGCTCATAAGATTCATTTGATTCAGCTTAAAAATTTAAGGCAACCAGGAGTTCTTTACAGTGTAAACACCCAACAACAGTTAGCCAATAAACTCAATAAACAGAGCACCCCTAAAGTAATAACCCCAACTTGACAGCTCTAATATTAATTAAATCTCCTATACATTGGCCCTAATCATGAGGCCAATTATTTTAATGATGTGTACTGTATATCTCTGTAGGCCAGTGTTTATGTCTGATGTTGGCTTCATTAGCCAGTGCTGTATCTTACTCTTCCAAACACTCGTCCTGCTTTGCTGCGGATGAGCTCCAGGCTGTCTGCGTTCTTCTTCTGAGGCATTAAACTGCTCCCAGTGCTGCGTTCACAAACAAACACACACATAACAGCTCTGATTAACCACATTTGTAAAAGCAGTAAGCGGCTTGAATCCCTCAGTAAACATCAGCCATATCGTCTTCATCTGTGTCCCAAGGCTGTTGTGTTTGTTAGCATCCTCCAATTAAGACAAACTATCTGAATCCATGCGCTCCTGCTTTTCCAAACATGTTAATGGTGTTAATAAATAAGCAATCGTCATTTCCTTGTGAACGTTTACTATTTGACTGACGTCAGTACCGGCTGCGTATGGACCAGTTTGTGGTTAATACGCATTACTTGGTTAATGTTAACAGGCTGAACATTTCACAGGCCATAAAGAATTATATGAGAAGAAGAAGTATTTGCTCTACTAATGGAAACTGCGTAATGGTAGGAGTAAAAATGTTTGATGTTTCTAGACAATTGCATTCAGAACTTTTTAAAGTCAATTCACTTCTGCCTAAAGTTTAAGCCAGCAGCTTTTAGGATTTCATGACGTATTGTTTCACATACATCAAGTGAGGTTAATATGAATAGCATGGTGGGAATGGAAAGAGAAATATTGTTGACTCAGGGGTTTCAAACTAATGGTTTCTGTCTGTCATTATGTTTACTTTTATTTGACCTACTCACAAGGCATGGTCATGAGCTCAAATCACTAGACGAAATCTTGCTGACTTGAGGCCTGATATACTGCCAGCTGTTTTCCCCTTTTTTTAGAAGTAAAAAAGCTTGAAACACATGAATACTGATATAGCTGATATTAGTATACTGATTAAAAAAACATCCAAATGCCACCCATGTGAAAGCAGAGTTTGCATTAACAGGGTTTATAGAAGGGGTGTCCAAACTTGGTCCTGGAGGGCCGATGTCCAAGAGAGTTGAGCTCCAACCCTAATCACACACACCCCAACCAGCTAATCAAGCTTTTAATAGATATACTAGAAACCTCCTGGCAAGTGTGTTTAAGCAAGTTCAAGCTAAAATCTGCAGAACATCGGCCCTCCAGGACTGAGTTTGGACACCCCTGTTATAAAGGTTTCAAATCTAATTGAATGCTTTTTAATTCAATTTTAAATTCATTTATTGCCATGTTGTCACCTTGGAATTATAAGTTTCTTTCTGCGTCCTAAATTATTTTGAGATATTGAGCTTTAAAGTTTTTGCATTCCATATAGCAAACATTATGTAGGTAACAGTTCTCTTTCATACATTAACATGTAAGAGACCCTAAATGTAGTCTGAAATGTAAACTATTAGAGTTCTCTTACATTTGCAAATTGGAGTAAAAAAACACAGTAAATGCAGATAGAACCTTCTAATTCCAAGTCATTTTCCACTTGGAATTATAAGGTTCAACCTGGCAGATCATTCCTTGAAGCATTACTTTCAAGAAATGCAATCAAATATCTATATAAATTGGTGTTGTAACAATATGTCGATGCTTGAGAAAGTAAAATTTTTGCTTTCTGTAACATTTATTTCATTTTTCAGGATGAATATTTTTTCTTGATCAAACTAAGCATAAATATTTTGTCCAGTGCAGATGGTAATTTTATGTAAACAATATTTTAATATTTATAAAATTTTGTGCCTTATATGAACTATTGAATTATATTTATTGAATTATGTCCAATTCATTAAATTAGGCACTTGCCTTTCAAGGCTTAATATTAAATTTAAAGACTTTAAAAGAAAACAAACAATGAACAAATGAGTTTAAACACTGAAAAATGTTTCACTGACTATATATATATATATATATATATATATATATATATATATATATATATATATATATATATATATATATATATACACACACACACACACACACACGCGCACACACACACACACACACACAAATAAAACTATTTCACATTTAATATAGAGTTTTTTTAAATATTAATTTCTTTTTCAGCAAATGTAAAATGTAACATTTCATCTCAATGTCAAAAAATGCTTCTAAAGCATCACATTTACACACATCTCAATTTTGTGTGGGGCAACATTATTTAGCTGGCTCTGATTTTGTCTTTCCGGTCTTTTCCGCTCTTAATATAGCAGTCCGGCGAAATGACAAAGAAAGCTAATCCTCATTGGTCCTCGAGCGTGCATTAAAAATGCTGATTGGCTCACAGAAAGATCTTTTAAGAGTCAAGCTAGAGTTAAACTTTGTAGATGAACCGTTTTTGCTTTTTTAGTAAAAAAGCCTTAAAATGTAAACAACCTATAAGTTGTCACTTAATAAGAATGTCAATAACTCATTTTTGACAAAAATGTCAGATAGAACCCTATAATTCTAAGGTGACGATGTATTGCCTGTATACAGTGCTGCTTGAATGTTCATAAAGCCTTTGAACATTTCATTCTATTATTTTACCATGAATTTTGTATTCCATCATTGCCAGCTTTTAAATAAAATTTCAGATGTTTATAAATTGCATGCGTTTGTTTAGGGGTCATGTATATGACAATGTTTTCAGTCAAAAACTAGAAACTTCTATTGCATTTCAACTCTTTTTGGAATTGTAAAATCAAATCAATCTTAAACGTTTTTGAAAATGCCACTGTTGTAATATTCATGTTAACCAGTAGTCTCAAACTCAATTCCAGGTGGGCCGCAGCTTTGCATCGTTTAGTTACAACCACCTCCAACTCACACCTGCTTAATAGTCTCTAGTTGTCTTGAACACCATGATTAGTTGCATCAGCTGTATTTGATCAGGGTTGGAGCAAAACTGTGCAGAGCTGCGGCCCTCCAGGAATCCTGTTTGAGACCTATAGTGTAAACCAGGTAAAGTCTCTGAAAATTATGCGGATGTGAGTAAAGCTGAAAAAAACTAGTTCATATGCAAAAACCAAAAAGTGCCATCTGTAATTTCTTTCTAGAGCATTTTTCTCAACCTCCTATTTTTTGTTAGGATATTTCACATTTAAGACAATGAAAATAACCAATTAATTGCCATTAAAATGAAATTACTGAACCTAAACACAAGAGTCTGACAAAAATGCTTATTAGAATAAAACTCTAAATGGCACTTAAAGGTTTGCATCTGAACTCTTCATACAATTAATGTATTTGCAAAATTTATATGAACCCCTGGCTGCACTGATAAAGTCAAATAGGTACCATTCAGGTGAAGGTCACTTGGTTGTCTAATTATTCAGTTAAACAGACCAATCAAATTAGATATCTTGGGGTGAATGCATCTTAAACCAGATGGAAATTGGACAGATCTTATATTTATGTAGGGGTTAAGGAAGTGTGATGCTGGAAATTCAGTTCGCCACACACAAAAAATTTACATTTAAAAATATCTCACTGTCATCATCAGTTATTAAAATAATATTTCACCTTATTGGTGTTTTATTATATTTGTCATTAATTAACGTAGCCTTGAAGCAAACGAGAATTCTTTCGAAAAGCAATAATGTGGGCAGGTTATTTTAAAAACACCCATTTCCCACTCTGAACTGCACCTGTTTAATAAGTAAATGATGCAATGATTCTAATCGGAGAAAATACACCTTATTTAAATACTCAAACAGAATTGGATATTGCGCAGAGACAGCTTAAAATGTCAAAATATATTTGATATAACTTAAAAACTGATTGCTAATCCTGCTGCAAAATTAGCTGGTGACGGAGAAAAAAAAAACATTAAATTTGTGTTTGCACAAGTTTCAGATAGAATCTGAAAGACTATAAACCCTCAGTCTGGGCAATAAAGGGAAAATGCTGGAACTTTAAGTAACTTTGGTAATTACAAAGACTTTTAACTCCTTTAGGGAGTAAACCCATGTGCCTAAGGCTCACTTTTAATTCCAAATATGACTCAAATCATTGCATTTGTCCTTGAATCTTCTCAGATTATTTGATCATGACCTGACAGTAAGCATTGTCATCTGCTTGCCATTATTTTTAGACAATTAAAGGGACAGTTCACCCAAAAATGAAAATTACTGCATCATTTACTTCCTCATTTTAAAGAATCCTGGTTGCTGGGACCCATTGACTTACATAGTATGAAAAAATATATACTATGGAAGTCAATGAATATCAGCTACCAGCATTTTTTAAAATAAATGATGTAGTGTTTAACAGTAGAAAGTAATTCAAATATGTTTTGAATAAATGAGGCTGAATTTCATTTCATTTTTGGGTGAATCAGCCACAAGCAAATTGCACAATGAAACATCAAATATGAAAGTAAACCATCAGCAAGTGACTGTCATGAGTATTTGTGTTATTATTCAACGGATTCATGCAAACAGTTTACTCATTCAAGAATGAAGCAAGTGCCTGTCTTCATGAATGGATCACTGAAATGAAGGCTCATCAGATTCATTCAAAAATGCAAAATCATTTAGCAACATTCCACTCCTGTGTCACACAGTTCTTTAAAAGTCATTCCAATGAGCTGATTTGTTGCTCAATAAATATTTCTTACTATTTTTAACTGAAAAAGCAGTGGTGCTTAATATGTTTGTGGGTTTTTTTTTTTATGAATATCCTTTTTGTACTTATATATATTTTCTATTGTGTTGTCATGATTGTTCACAATAAAGAAGTGCTGTCCTCACCTGTATGCATCAGTCAGATTGATAAAGGAGAACTCCTTCGTACTGTACAAAATCAGATCCTCTGCCATTTTGCTAAGGTGCGTGAGACACATTGATCCCCAGAAGAGAAACTCAGCTGTCCAAAAACACACAAATGCATTCACTTAAGGCAGTGGTTCCCAAACTTTTTGCTGTGTGCACCCCTTTCTAATATTTGACACCTGTCAAGCAACGCTTTCTCCAATTAAACTCCACATTTTTAACGACAATAACTAAATACACATATTTTCTGCATACGTGATTAAAATTAAAATAATAAAATATGTGAATTTAATGGACGAGCTTTTATGAAGTTCACAATTTCCACAGCGTCATTAAGTACAGACAAAAGTTCATCTGGCATGTTTTTCCATCGCTAGTCTTGGTGGACGCTGCAGTGTACCCAGGAAACCGATGGTGCAACTTTTTAGATGAAAGCTACTGCTCCTTTGTGCCACCTTTTTTTCTTGTTCTGCAGTTCCTCCTATTTTCCTTAAAAAAAAACTTACAGGCATGTCTTGTTTGTAAGTGCCGGACCATATATGAGGGCTTAAGACTGCTATTAGCTAAAACCTCACCACAGACTACACACTGCGGATTTGGATTTTCTGCATCTCCAATCCATGTACACCCGAAACCAAAGTAACTATTGCTTTATTTGCATTTCTTACTTGACATTTTCTCACTCTCTAGCGTAGGCCTAATTCTCTTCATTAGTACATCTCTGCTAGATTTCTCTGTTCCGCCTCATTCGTTATCCTCCGAGTCCATATGTTCAAGGCCGCTGCATATCTCCATAGAAGAGGCCGATTTTGATCCCTATTGTCACTTGCCTTCTTTAAAGTGCCAGTTTTAAATCAGGTGTTCATTTTGATGAATATAGTAAACGAAAAGCAAATATGAATGTACCATCAATTAGCGCCTAATGGGAAAGGATGGGCTATTGTGATGCAGACGTGAAACTGCGAGATGAGGGAGTATGCATAGGTTGTAAATTACAACTTGTAATGTGTTTTTTTTTCTTTCTCATTGAATTTCCTCTCTCAAAAATATGACATGTGAAGTTTACCCAAGATAAATGAATAAAAACAACAAAAGATAAAATTTTCCTCCATTACAAAAATTCTCTCACGCACTCCTGCTGGTCAGACTGCGCAAACCTAGGGGTGCACGCACCCCAGTTTAGGAACCGCTGACTTAAGTGAACAGTTCACCCCAAAATTAATTCCGTTATCATATGCACTCAACCTCAAGTTGTTTCTAACCAAAATGTCTTTTTTTATATTCTACAGATATGCAAAGACAAAACTGTGAGTGTACAAGGACAAAATAAATGTTTAAATGAACTAACCCTTTACATGCAACGATACTATTTGAGTTGTAAAGTGAATTATCATACTCATGATTATACATACCAACAAAATCCCTCTGTCCAGTAGCATCCATGCTGTTAATACTGATACTGTCAAAACTGAGTTCTGTGGAGTTATTAAAAAAAAAAAATAATCGGATTAATAAATTCACACAAATCACTAATTATATTAGAATTTAATTAAAGCATGAGTTACAGGAAAGCTAATTTATAAAATTATGTCAACCTTGGCGAAGTAGTTCTCTGTCAATGTCGAAGGGATTCCCAGCAATGGCTCCACTGAAAAGCAAATATAATATGTAATAGTGTATATTTTTATCCACAACAAAACATCCCAGGAGGGTTAAATGCACAGTAAAAAATGTAGGATTCCACACAATTCACTAATATCATCCCAGCATTTATCGATTAAGCTAACTATTAATGATTAAGTGGATTGAACGTAAAACAATTAAGCTGTCCCAATAAAATCTCAAGAATTGTGTTGTTTCAGCTCATTTTAAATAAGAACAAGCAGAAAACATTTTTTTTTCTGTGTGTATACAAACAAAACTAACCTTCCTAGTGGCATCACATTAACACGTTTCCTGATGTCCTCCAGCCGCTCAACATCCCTGCTTATTGCCACTACATGACTGCAATAAATAATAATGAACAATTGGGGTTTGTAACAGAATTAAAGAAATTGTTCACCCAAAAATTAAAATTCTATCATCATTTACTATCCTTTAACTTGTTTCAAACCTGTTATGAGTTTCTTCTCTAGAACACATAATATACACTCACTGGCCACTTTTTTAGGTACACCTTATTAGTAACATGTCAGACCCACTTTTGCCTTCAGAACTGCCTTAATTTTTTGTGGCATAGATTCAACAAGGTACTGGAAATATATTGGTCCATATTGACATGATAGCATCACAGACATTTGTCAGCTGCACATCCATAATGAGAATCTCCCCTTCCACCATATCCCAAAGATGCTCTATTGGATTGAGCTCTGGTGACTGTGGAGGCATTTGAGTATAGTGAACTCATTTGTCATGATCAAGAAACCAGTCTGAGATGAATCACGGTTCACGACATGGTGTGTTATCCTGCTGGAAGTGGCCATCAGAAGATAGGTATACTGTGGTCATAAAGGAATGGACATGGTCAGAAACACTACTCTGGTAGGCTGTGATGTTCCCACGATGCTCAATTTGGTACTTACAGGCCCAAAGTGTGCCAAGGAAATATCCTCCACACCATTACACCACCACCACCACCAGTCGGAACTGTTGATACAAGGCAGGATGGATCCATGCTTTCATGTTTTTGACGCCAAATTCTCACCCTACCATCCAAATGTCGCAGCGGAAATCGAGAGTCATCAGACCAGGCAATGTTTTTCCAATCTTCTATTGTCCAATTTTGGTAACCCTATGCGAATTGTATCCTCAGATACCTGTTCTTAGCTGACAGGAGTGGCACCAAGTGTGGTCTTCTGCTGCTGTAGCCCATCTGCCTCAAGGTTAGATGTGTTGTGAGTTCAGAGACGCTCTTCTGCATACCTCAGTTGTAATGAGTGATTATTGGAGTTACTGTTGCCTTTCTATCAGCTCAAACCTCTAGTCATTCTCCTCTGACCTCTTGCATCAACAAGACATTTGCACCTAAAGAACTGCCGCTCACTGGATATTATCTCTTCTTCAGACCATTCTCTATAAACCCTAGAGATGGTTGTGCGTAAAAATCCCAGTAGATCAGCAGTTTCTGAAATACTCAGATCAGCCCATCTGGCACCATCAACCATGCCACGTTTAAAGTCACTTGAATCACCTTTCTTCCCCATTCTGAAGCTAAGTTTGAACTGCAGCAGATCGTCTTGATCGAGTTGCTGCCATGTGATTGACTGATTATTTGCGTTGATGAGCATGTACCTAATAAAGTGGTCAGAGAGTTTATATTATGAAGAATCCTGCAAAGCAGCAGTCATTGACATACATAGTATTTTTGTTTCCTACTATGGATGTCAGTGGCAGCTAGTTTTCAACATTCTTCAGAATTTATATTTTTTTATGCTTTACAAGTGAAAAAAGAAATTCGTAATTTTTTTAGAACCACTTGAGTGTGATTAAAAGTTCATTTCTGTGTGAAAAGTCACTTTAAATCTAAAATAGAAATACACCTGAGAAGCCAGTGACTCCATCTGATTGGCTGGGCTCTCTGCATGTGAGTGTATCCTGGGCACAGGATTTCAATCTCTCTAAAAGGATTAAAAAAAATAGCTATGTATTTGGCAATAGTACATTACTCTTATTAATAAATGTATTAAGATTACTGTGCATATTCTTACGCTGCAGCTCTTTCCACCATAGTGTTGATGAGTTGCAAAGCCAGTTCTTTAAGCGTGGCAATACCATCCCGTAACCAGAGTCGCATATCAGTTGCAACCTATCCGACAAGTGAGCCAAATAATATGCAAGTTAATTAAATGTCATGCGATATAACAGCAAAACTGAAATTACAATTGGAGGAACCTGATCATTTCTGCTCCTGCCAGTATGAAGCTTTCCAGCAGCATCACCAATCAATTCCTTTAAAAAAGAGAGATGAGATTAACATTGACTCATTTTAAGCAACTCTAAATGAGGCTGTGTGGAGCTTTTATTTCTTTAGAAGACTCTAAGATGGCAATGCAAATTAGACTCAAACTATGAAAAGAGGTTTCATTTTGACACATGAATTGATTATCAATTGATCTGAACACCATCGAAAGTCTTTGTGACGTGCTGGAACAGACTTCACAGAGTGGATCTCCTCAGGGTCAGATAATGAAGATCTTTTATGCAATTTCACACATTGTATTTCCATCTAGGGTTGCATGTATTTTTTCACTCATGGCTTGTAATGAGAAGTTGAGCATTCCCATTATCAGACCCTGTGGTGTCCAGGGTCTACTTCACAGGACAACTCAAACACTTTCAATCGGTTTCAGGTCAACTGGTGGTAAATTCATCTGTAAAAAAAGATAAGTCTCACAATTTGAGCCTGATAAATCCATGCCATTGAAATCCTGGAGTATAGCCATGAGATAAAGAAATTTAAATACTCTTTAAGTTAAATTTAAAATAATTGTTGCCAAATGTATGTATTAAATCTCTAATATGTTGCACCACAGGTATATTTTTGGCTACAACCAAAAATACATTGTATCGGTTAAAATTTCTGAAAGCAAAGAAGGTCAAGGTGCTTCAGGATTGGCCAGCCCAGTCACCAGACATAAACATTATTGAGCATGTCTGGAGAGAGATGGAGAAGGCATTGAATATAAATCCAAAGAATCTTGATGAACTCTGCGAGTCCAGCAAGAATGCTTTCCTTGCCATTCCAGATGACTTTATTAATAAGTTAATATGTTTGGATGCAGTCCTCCAAGCTCATGGGAGTCATACTCTCATTATTAACTCTTCTTCCACTGCATCATGACTTTATATTCTATACTGTACATTATTTCTGTTAAGTGTCAAGACTTTTGTCAAAGCAAAGTCAGACCTTACTCTCCTAATTAAATAATTAAAAATCAAGGCACGATCACATTTTATTTTGGTAAAAAAGAGGCCTTTTCCTTTCATATTAGCCACTTCTGTTACCAAATGATCAACTAAATGTCAAAATATTTATTTGTTGTTCCTAAAAACTTACAGGCAACAAGACTATTGTCAGGTAGTGTATCTCAGCCAAACTCTGTCTAATTCTAACAATCCATAAATCAATGGAAAGCTTATTTATTCAGCTTTTAAATTTTTTTTTGATGTATAAATCTCTATTTTTTTACACTTATGACTGTTTTTGTGGTCCAGGGTCATCATTAAATATCAAATAATGAACAATCATGACTGAAGATTTTGCTTACTTAAATCCAAAGATAAACAGTTTTTTTTTTCAGGCCAGTGTGTTTTTTTTATTATACAGCATTATAAGCAACACCACATGGTGTGTTAATCAAATCTTAATCTTGAATGATGGGAGTAAATGTTCTTATCACTGAGAAAAATGTTTTGTTTTGACCTTCAGCCTGCGTTCATTGGCTGTGTGAATGTCCTCGTCACCTGGTTTGATCTCGAACTCGCCTTTAGACCACTCATCCAAAACCTGAAAGAAAGAATTTTACTTTTTATTTGTGAATTAAAATGTTTGATTTGCTTTTTTGCAATGTCTACATTATGTTCAACATATAGAACAAACGTGTAGCTCTTAGAAGATTTTGAATTGAAAGTCTAGATAACATACATTTGTTAGCCGAGTAGTTTGAAAAAATCCTGTTGTCCATTTCTTGTTTTGGTTGTCAACTACTCAAATCATGTCTACAGACTAAACAGTCTTAACACTAAAAAGCAAGCCCATGATGTCACTGTTTTCCGAAAATTACATTTTTGTTTAGACAATTTTGACACTACTTTGCTCAAACTGCACTGTGATCCCCATTTTTGGTGTTCTCCTTGGTGTGTAAATGTTCAATTCCCACTTCAAGAAACTCAAAAAAGTTTGGAACAAGTAAAGGGTGAGAAAATTATAACTGTATTTTTATTATTTGAAAAATATTTCGGATTTTTTAAAAAGGGAAACTCCATTTACATTAATTATTAATTCTTATGGGTTAATGTTTTGTTCATTACCTTTTACAGTTTTTGCTGCTTCATAGTTGTTTTACTATTTAAACATTGGCCCATGTTCACGTAGTCCATGTGTGTTCAATGAACCATACATTTTTTCCTCAATTCCTGAACATTTTCAGTAGTTTTTCCATATAGTAACTGACATTCAAGCATGAAATATTACCTGCGTCATTGTGTGAAGAACAAAACTCTGTCTCCTCTATTTGTTTGAATGTTATAAGAATAGAAAGGAAAATGGTGTTGATTTTGAGGCCTTCTGCACAAAGCTGGTTTGTTTTTTTACTCTGATAAGTTTGTGTTTGGATTGAGCAAACTCTGAGTTTTAAGCTCAATGTGGGTTTGTTTTATTTGGGTTTCGAAGTTTTATTCTGAGTTAAAGATCACAAAACCAAACTGAAAAGTGAAGTATAAATCTGATAAAGCCATAGTGTCTGTGCGACTTTTTTGCTCCAAATGTAACCTTTTGAACTAAAAGCATTTTTAAATTAAAATTTAGTATTTTATGCCTTATAACTTATTTACAGAAATGTATTTTATATTATTATATGATATACTTGAATGGCCATTTTACATTAATAATTGTTTTAAATTAAAATTTACATAGAATTATTCATTAATCTGGGGTCGCCACAGCGGAATGAACCGCCAACTTATCCAGCAACTTTTTACACAGCGGATGCCCTTCCAGCCGCAACCCATCTCTGGGAAACATCCACACACACACTCATACACTATGGACAATTTAGCTACCCAATTCACCTGTACCGCATGTCTTTGGACTGTGGGGGAAACCAACGCGAATGCAGGGAGAGCATGCAAACTCCACACAGTAACGCCAACTGAGCCGAGGCTCAAACCAGTGACCTTCTTGCTGTGAGGCGACAGCACTACCTACTGCGCCACTGCTTCGCCATACATATAATTATTTATATTTGAATTTGCTTTAATATATAAAGCTTTTAAAGTGACAGTCTTTGTGCTGTTTGTGAACCTACATTAATAAAGTCACCTGATCGAGCTAAGTAAGGGTAAGTATGATACTTAGGGCCCACAGACTTTGGGGCCCCTAGAGATCTGTTTTGTTAGCATTAACAGTAATGCTAAACCTCAAATGATCTTTCATTTGGCCCAAAATCGCTAGTAGTGCCCTTATGTACTAACATAATTATATATAATAATAACAAAATACAACTTTTCAACTGTTCAACTGTTTGCTTTAACAGTGTTAATTTCTCAATTGTAAAAGCATTCAAATTCATTATATTTCTGATAATTGGGGCAGCACAGTGGCCTAACAGCAAGAAGTTTGCTGGTTTGAGCCATTGCTGGGTCAGTTGGCATTTCTGTGTGGAGTTTGCATGTTCTCCCTATCCTCCGGGTGCTCCGGTTTACCCCACAAGTCCAAAGACATGCGATATAAGTGAATTGGGTAAACTAAATTGTCCGTAGTGTATCGTGCATCACCTGGTCCTCCAGGTTGAGAGTTGAGTGTTGGGCTAACAACCCACTTCATAAAAATTAGATGTTATGAAACACCAACATGGTGTGGCTAAATATCAACTAACTTCGATATAAAACGGCCCTGGGAGTAAGTAAGTAACAGGGAAGTAAATTGCTGACTTCCATGCAGGAAATAAATCAAACTCACCCTCTAATGTGTCATGTTTACGTGTCACAATCCTAGCTGCATCCTATTCAAAGTTAATCACAAACTCTGCATTAAACCTTGAGTTAACAGAGAAGGGTTTATAAAGCATTAAGAAATAATTTAACCTGATCTTTAGGTTGGTTTTGTCAACTTAAATCTTACTCTGCAACCCGAAGTTTGTTCAACTTGTTTTGGGCAACAGGGCTCTGCGGTTTACAATAGGCATCATCAACAGTCACATGTCTATTGTTATGTCTGTGTCAGGACATATTTTTGTCTGTTATGCATTAAGCGTTGGTGCCAAAGGGTGAAATGGACTGTGGTACAGTACCCAGGTGAATATTTACCAAGGAGCATCATATAGGCTAAAGTTTCAAAAAGAAACTGACATTGCAAAAACAAAACACACACACAAACACATATAACCTGAAAGTAAGCAACCAAACTGGTTTGTAGTTGAGGTAACGTGGTGAATAAAATGTTATCACCTTGTCAAGGCCTGTAAGAATCTGTTCCATCTCGTTTTGGGTTACAAGGCTTGCTTTCTGTAAAGCTTTTACATAAGCTTTACTCCCTTTAATATCAGCTTTCCACATTCGCTGGTCGTACGAGATTGACGCGTTGAACTTTTCCATTATAGGGTCGGTGTTTCCCACAAAGCGACCACCCCATAGTTTATTTCCCTGTCATAAAATAGACATTAGGACTTTTCTTAAAAGGCTTGTAACTATGAAACACATGCAAAATCAGAAATTAAATAGCTATATTTACCTCTGAACTTGCCATTGTAACAGTCTCTAGAGTAGCGACCTACGTGCGATGAGCAAGCGGAAAACTAAAGCGTATGATTCAAACAGAATGAGGAAATGTCAAATAATTAAAGGAACAAATCAGTGCTTTTAAGTATTCGTGAGATAAATTACAGTAAGAGCCTGAACATCCAACAGCGACCGGACTGCATTTCCTCCTCGTTTATTTTGGGACCAAGCACGCCCCGCCCATAATATGCAAATGAGGTGTTTGTGAACTAATCAAAATCATAAGCGCGATTTTTCGGGAGCTGTCGTTCATTTGAGTAACCAATCCCGTCAACTATACCGAAGGATACAGAACCGCCTCTCTAAAGGAAAATACATTTTTATAAATCAGCCTGCAGTGACGGTCATGGACGATGGATGGCGTCATTGTCTAATTAAAATGAAAGATAATGCTTTAATGGGGCGACATGGTGGCTCAGTGGAAAGCACTGTCGCCTCACAGCAAGGTGGCATATCTGTGTAGAGTTTGCATGTTCTCCCCGTTTTGGCGTGTGTTTTGCTCCGGTCCATATGTGGGTGATTGTTAATGAGTGTGTATGGATGTTTCGCAGTACTGGATTGCAGCTGGAAGTGCATCAGCTATGTAAAACATATGCTGTATAAGTTGGCGGTTCATTCCGCAGTGGCAACCCCTGATGAATAAAGGGACTAAGCTGAAGGAAAATGAAAGAATAATGCTTTCATGTATTTATTAAATAAATTCGTCCACAGAGAACTTGTGATTTATGTCATTAGTTTTAGGATGTGTTTAGGATATTTGTGTGAACGTAAAATGAATATTGGGGGGAAAAAAACATTAACCAACTTTTCATCATATGTTTAATTTAGCTGTTTAATCATTTTAACCAATACTACGCCATTTAAAGCAGCCTGCAGCCTTATTTAGATAACAAACAGATTTCAATCTTAATTTTTGGAAATACCTTGATGGTATCATTTACAACTAAAATTTGCATTATGGTCCGAGACTAGATCTACTTGTTCTTCATTCATCAGGGTTTATCTATACCAACAGTATGAAGTACTGTCATTTTACCTAAAAATATATATATACATTCTATTAATTCATTGTTGGTGCGATTATAATCTATACATAGTAAACAAAAAATATTGAAATCTTATCTATTTTAAATATTTGTAGCATTTGAACCGATTTGAACAAGACGACTGAGGGGGAACGTTTAACACAGCTTCGTTTTCTCGACGGATTGTTGTTAGATGTTGAACCAACAAAGCGAGCAGGATGGAAGTGTAAGCAACATATTTTACTTTTATATGTTTATATTCGAGAACATTTATTTTCCCTTTTTAGTTAAAAATACTTATTATGTGGTGGTCTGACGGGGAAAACTACTTTGCAGGATAACAATGACAATGGAATGCTGCTCACGTGGACATCCTCGTTATAACGACAAACTGCATAACGTTATGTTGTAATTCCTACTGTGTTTTTTAGGTGTAAACATGATTCACAGAATACGTCTTAAAAAACTTATTCACAAGCCCTTCACATAGTCTTTAAAGTTTTAAATTCATAGCCAATGGATTTAGTGTGTCTCTGACTAGTTTTGTTTGTAAATACAAACTCTAAACAGTGATCTAACAGTGTTAAATCAAAATTTAAGAATCAAATTTTTAAGAGATGACAATACATTAGTAATTTTAGAAACTGATCAAAAATAAACGTTGTTAATCTTTTATATTAAAAACGGTAAATGTTGAAATATTTTTTACTGTACCTTCTGCACATTGTACTCATTTATTAATTTCCGGTTACTGTACATGATTTAAAGTAAACTAATAATAATATTAATAGTATTCTTTTGTAGGAGGGATGCCAATGCTGCTATGCTGAGCAATTATGAGGTCAGTATGAATTTTAAAACTTTTGAATAAAAAAACAAAAAGTGTACTTTTTGTTGTTTGTGGCTATAGAAGTGTTCTCTACTCCACCAGGTCTATCAGCTGCTGACAGACCTGAAAGAAAAAAGAAAGGAGATGGTTAAAAATAAGCACAGCACCGGGCAGCAGAATCTCAACACCATCATGTATGAGGTGCTTGTTTTTTGATGTGATCTAACAAACATCTCCAGATGCAGCAAAACAGGCTATCTCCTTGAATGTGACAGAATGTTTAATTCCTCCTGAGGACTTGAAACCCACAGTCCATTTGTTCATAAACGAAACATGGCAAAGAGAATGGGACAACTGCATAAATAATAAATTGCATAAATAATAAATTAAATAATAAATGAAAGACGTTTAGCAAATTATAATTTTCAGACTAGGCATGATCAGATGGCCTACACCAGATGTGGAATTGGAGGATTGGATTTTAAGTTGACACATTTATATTTACTGAATAAAGAAGCACTACGTAAATGTAATTACTGCCAGGCTGCTCTTACCATAAAACATGTTTTGTTGGAATGTAGAAGTTTAAATTCCATTAGACAAAATTATTTTAAAGAGGGTACTTTAATGGACACTTTTAAAAAGGTACCATCAGGAAGAGTTTTAAATTATTAATCAAAAAATTAACTGAAAAATCATATTTAACTTTGAATATTTTTTTTGTGTGAATTTTTTTGTATTTATATTTTTTATATTTGTGTAAGTAACTTTTTTTATTGTAATACGAATTCGTTTTTTCATGTAATATTTTATGAATATCCATTTTGCCAGGAAATAGCCATAAGTTGCTTATGTGGAAATAAATAATAAATTAATAAATAAACAAACACCTCCAAATTGGACTGGGTGATATGACAAATCATGTATAATGATATGTCATCTCATATGTTGATAACGATATATATCTTACTATATAGTAACATTTCTAAAATTCAATTCATTAATAGTTTGTATTGACCACATGTAAAAGACTTTATCTAGATTTATTTTTTTTACAATTTAAAGTACATACTCAGAGATATACTCGTATGTGATCATATTCCTCCCTTTATTTAGAATTTCAGGGCAAATATTTGATTGAGAAGGTATAAATATAAAGCATTATATATATATATATATATATATATATATATATATATATATATATATGTATGTGTGTGTGTGTGTGTGTGTGTGTGTGTGTGTGTGTGTGTGTGTGTGTATATATTTATATATGTGTGTACACACACACAGGGGTTGGACAATGAAACTGAAACTCCTGGTTTTAGAATAATTTATAATTCATTTGTATGGTGTAGGGCAGGGATGTCAAACTCAATTCCTGGAGGGCCGCAGCCCTGCACAGTTTAGTTCCAACCCTGCTCCAACACACTTACCTGTAGGTTTTAAACAAGCCTGAAGGACTTAATTAGTTTGATCAGGTGTGTTTAATTAGAGTTGGAACTAAACTGTGCAGGGCTGCGGCCCACCAGGAATTGAGTTTGACATCGCTGGTGTAGGGCCTCCTTTTGCAGCCCAGCCAATACAGCATCAATTGGTCTTGGAAATGACAGATATAAGTCCTGCACAGTGGCCAAAGGGATTTAAGCCATTCTTCTTGCAGAATAGTGGCCAGGTTACTTTGTAATGCCTACCTTGCTCCTCCAAAACATTCCAAAGTGGCTCAATAATATTTAGATCTGGTGAATGTGCAGGCCATGAGAGATGTTCAACGTTACTTTCATGTTCATCAAACCACTCTGTCACCAGTCTTGCTGTGAGTGTTGTTGCATAATCATCCTGATACACGACACTGGCTTCAGGAGTGCACATGGTCCTCCAGAATATTTTGGTAGTCCTAGGCAGCGACATTCCCACTTAGCATAAGTATTGGGCCTAGAGAATGCCATGATATTGCAGCCCAAACCGTCACTGATCCACCCTCACGCTTCACTCTTGGTGGTACGCTTATTTGGGGCTTCTCCACACCGTAACTCTTTCCATGTGGAATAGACAGGGAATGTGGACTCATCAAGGAACAATACATCTTTCACATTGTCCACAGACCAAGATTTTTGCTGCTGGCACCATTGAAACCGATGTTTGGCATTTGCGTGAGTGACCAAAGGTTGGGCTATATCAGCTCGGTCATGTATATTGACCCTGTGGAGCTCCCGACAAACAGTTTTGTAGAAAGAGGATAGTTGAGGTGCACGTTTAATTCTGCAGCGAGTTGGGCAGCTGTGGTTCTATGTATTTTTGGATACAATCCAGGTTAGCACCCTGACATCCCTTTCAGACAGCTCTTGCATCCACAGTTACTACTGTTGGATGTGATTCATCCTTTTTGGTGGTATGCTAACATTACTCAGGAGACCGTGGCTCTTGATACATCACAACTTGCTGTCTTGGTCAGAGATACGCCAGCGAGACGCACACCAATTTGTCCTCTTTTGAACTCCAAAATGTCACCCATAATGTTGTGTGCATTTAAAACTTTTTAAGCAAAACCGTGCTTTTACTCTCCTAATTACACCTTCACACTCTGCTCTTACTGGTGGAATGCATAATCACCTGCCATGAAACCTCCAACACTAAATTGGCCAATGTTTCAGTTTCATTGTCCAACCCCTGTATAAATTGTCATATTGCACAGCCCTATCTCCGAAACAAGGCAAAGACTTGAGATTGTGTTGCTCAGTCATGCCCTTTAACGTCTGAAATCTCTGCCTCAACAGACCCTGAAGTACCTCTCTAAGACGCCATGTGTTCATCAGAAACCAGAGACAGTGAAGGAGTTCCTCACCGCCATGCTGCCTCACAAACTTACTAAGTACTTTTTATTTTTTCTCTTATTTTGAAGCATGCATTTAAAACTTGTGCACTGAATCACCTCTTTGAAAGGAAAAACCTTAAAGCCTCAAACTGTGTAAAAGCCACAGTAAATGCAGTGCATTGCAGTGACTTTGTAATTCTGGGTTTGAGATGCACCATTGTGAATGTTTGTGTTGTGATGTTTCTGAAACCAGTACACGTGTGAGTTGCTGGTTTTGCCCTTGACAATGAGTCTAGTGTTAGTTTATCAGATTTTTTATTTTAGCTTGTGAAAAAAGCAGCCTGTTAACTTCTTTTCTATTTCTGTTCAAAGAGCAGAGAAGCTGCAGCTCTTAAACCACAGACCTCAGACTGCTGTTGAGATCCAGCTGGTATGAGTCTTCACATCTTTTTTTCATACACTTTGTCTTTAACATCTTTGCCCTTTTTTGACAATGCTAAGTATGTTCAAAGTGTTAAACCCTTTAACTGCCCCACCAAGAAACAAAAATGTGTATTGCATTACCTAACTCCTAATGTCGCTAGTTAACATACTCAATGCGATTTTTTTTTTCAACACATGCCATGACATGTCGGTTTATGGTAAAAGTACTGCAATTAATGCATATACTATGAAAAAGCTAAAACTATGAAGTGTACATTTTTGAAAACTAAATCATCTTCATTTTTAAGGTATGCCATGAAATATTTCAGATTCTCATTTAACATGTTTTTTGTTGTTGTTGTTGTTGTTGTTGTTGTTGTTGTTTTTACAATAAAACCTAAATGAAGTGAAGTAGTGCAACAGGATTGTTTGTTTGATTTTTTTTTTTTTTGTAAAAAAAAAAAAAAAAACATTCTTTACTTAAACAGTCAATAATATGTGGCCATTTTGTAGAGCAGGCAATTAAAGAGTTGAGAAATAATAGTGTCCCATAAATGTTTTTTTCTTCTTTAAAAATTACCTTTAACATATTGTTTAAAGTAGCTGTTTGTGAATGTAATAGATCTGCAATTTTTTAAACACATTAAACTAAGTCTATGGTTAACTATGATCACCTTAAAGAAATAATTCAGAAATGCCAAAGTAAGTATCAGCAATGCACAGGGACTTTTTTAAATAATTATTTTGGTTGGTTTTTACCTTTTATTGAGATAGGATAGTAAAGGACAGACAGGAAACGATTGGGTTCAGACAGAGGGAAGGATCAGCATAGGACCCCTAGCTAGGAGTCGAACTCAGGTCGCTGTGAGCACTATTGTGCCATATGTTGGTATACTTAACCACTAAGCAATTGGCGCTGAATTGCACAGGGAATTTTCAATAAGCCAGCTCAAGCCCTTCCCAGCAAGCATTTTTTCATTCTAAAAGATGTCTAATAGATGTCTAAACATTGTCGTCTTGGCTAAAACAAGGCTAAATTTGGGCTGTCAGTGAAAATCTTATAGAAGTCTAAAAATCAAATAGACAGAAATGAATGACTACACATATATAGTCTGTCTATTTGACGACTAGTCTAGTTTTGAACTATTCTTAGATGTCTATTTTGTTTGCATGTTCTCCCCGTGTTCGCGTGAGTTTCCTCTTTGTGCTCCAGTTTCCCCCACAGTCCAAAGAGATGCGGTACAGGTGAATTGGGTTGGCTAAATTGTCCGTAGTGTATGGGTGTGAATGATTGTGTATGGTTGTTTCCCAGAGATGGGTAGCAGATGGAAGGGCATTTGCTGTGTAAAACATATGCTGAATAAGTTGGCAGTTCATTCCGCTGTGGCGACTAAGCCGAAAAAGAAAATGAATTAAGAGAGTTTGTGCACAACGAATTATGAAGTTTTGAGGTGTAACAAAGATTTATTTTATTTAATATTTATACAATTTATGCAAAAAAAAAAAGAGAAGTTTTTCCTAAGTTTTCCGAAAACATGATTATTTTACCTCCCCCATTTTCAGATAATTTCACTTGTTTTGAGGAAAAACTAATCATTTTCACCTAATTTTTCTAAAGGTGAAAACAAATACATTTTTCACTTGATCTAAGATTTTTTAGATATTTGGACTAGAAACGAAGCAAAGGAAGAAAAAAAAAGATTATTCATTTTTTTGTACTTAAATATCATTAAACTCCCCAGAAAAAAACAGCTATCCAAAGCATCTTGTGAAACTACTCAAATCACAATATGTATCATAGAAAAATAAAACATTGCAATATCTTATATATAAATATTTTTCTGATATCATGATGCAGCCCTGAAACCTACTGTGGAAAACCTTCAAAACTACATCAGAACCCTTTAAAATAGTGTGAATTAAGGCTTTTTAATACATTTAATAGGAAAGTGACCATGACAGATGTTTATAATTGAACTAAATGTTTCTATTTCAAATGTTTGCATGCATTTTATATCTATTACATACATAGGAGGGAAGAAAGAGGCGAGCGAACAGTTGTCAGTTGGCTCACAAAATGAGACGCACACCATGAGGAGGCGCATGATTTATAGTTTTATATTTTCCCATAGGATAAGAAAACTCAGCTACGAATAAAAATAAGAAACCGACGTGTCATCACTCCACTAGCAGATTCACGCTACGTCGCTGATTTTGATCGCGTCCCAAAAATGATTTTAAACCCAGAAGATAAAATTAGCTGACAAAAGCTTCAAATTATCCAGTTTTCCCCTCAGTTAAAGCTAACAGGTGCTAACGTTGTCTTAACTGATGGTCAACTTACACAAATCTGTTTCATCTGATCTGTTACACAAATCAAATTTCAGAACAGAACACAGTTATGGTATTTTTGATTTGATGAAAGCAGTGTTGATGAGCAAAAGATGGAAGACAAAAAATGGTCATGCAAATGGCATAGTAAAAATAGTCTCTACAAACTAGTCTGACAAGTATATTAACCAACTAAGAAACTGAAGATGTAAATTTGAAGAAAAACAGGATTTATTAATTACTGTTCAAAGCCTGTGGTACATTTATAAAAAAAAAAAAAAAAAATATATATATATATATATATATATATATATTAATATTATTGATGAATAAACAAATTAAAAAAAAACACTTACTAAGTCTTATGGAGTGTGAGAGTCTGAAGGGACAAAGATGGATTTCTGAACAGCCAACAAAAACTGGATGTTATTTGTATGACATCTCTATGAACTTAACTTAGGCAAGGCAAAATTATTTATATAGCACATTTCATACACAGTGGCAATTCAAAGTGCTTTACATAAACAGGAATAAAAGATAATAAAGACTGATAATAAAAATGATTAAAAACAGATGAAAACAGACCAAATGTGTTAAAACAAGTTATAAATGTGTTATAAAACAATGAAAAATAAGAGAAAAACATATTAGTGCGATCTGACGGGCCTAGCACAGTGCTCATTTAGTAAAGGCACAGCTAAACAGATGTGTTTTCAGTCTTGATTTGAACGTGCCTAATGATGGAGCACATCTGATCATTTCTGGAAGCTGATTCCAGCAGCGAGAGGTGGAGTATCTGAAAGCCGTTTCACCCTGCTTTGAATGAACTCTTGGAATTTCTTGTTTATATGATCCTAAAGATCTTTTTTCAACTTACAGATGGTAGAGGAAAGTGAAGAAAGGCTGACAGAAGAACAGATCGATGAACTTATACAGAAAGTCACGGACATCCTGCCCGGTGACCCACAGACAGAAGCCAATGAATCTGCTGATCCTCAAATGGACACCAACCAATAGCATCACCCCCAGAAACTCGCAGTTTAATTTTTTTATTTTTTTTTAGTTTTTCATCCTTAAACGCCCAAGAGACAGTGCTAATACTTACATTTACTGTTGATCTTTATTATGTCAATGAAAACATTAGCCATTGCTACATCTAAAATAATAAAAATCCATATTTATTTAACCATAAATATCATGTTATTTTGTCAGCATTGTTTCCCATGCACAATTGTCGAAGCTGCATTGATCTTTGTTTGAGTAAGGATATGATCTTCTGGGCTCAAGACAGTCTCAGTTCCTCTGCGACATCCTTCCTGTATTGCTACTCTTTATTTCAGCTCATAAATGTTACAATCACTGACCATTTTGATTTGTGAGAAATTGCTCAAAAGCAAACCCATACCGTTTGTATGTCCATTAAGTTCAAATGTGAAACTGTGAATCAACAGTTTTTGACTTTAAAACTCTAGTATACTTGTTACAACCAAGTTAACCAGGATTTTTTATCAACAAGTTGCTTAAAGGATTGTTTCACTTCTAGAATGAAAAATGTCCTGGTAATGTACTCACTCTTTTGTCTATCAAGATGTTGAATAAAAGTAAGGTACTTGGGGAGACATGCATGACTTGTACGGTGCTCCGTGTTATGAATTTCCAAACTGATATTTCAGTACAGCTTGAAAGGACTCTAAATTATTTTTACAGTCATTTTCTTTAATATTTCCTTTAATATCTTTATTTAACCTCAAAAGGTTGCATAGCAGCAAAGCTAGTACTAGTCGAACTAAAACTGTAGAATTGTGTATCCAATTTTGTACTTCTAATGAAAGAAAATGGCTGATCATTTGATTGGCTAGTTTCATATCATTTAGAGCAGAGATGCCCAAACTAGGGTCCACAGTCCAAAGTTCGCCCATGGCAACTTTTGATTTGGCCCACCATCCCATCTGAGAAGAGGAGAATGATGGGGATGGTTTAGAGATTGTGATTTCAAATTTAATGTAACCTTTTATTTTTTTTTTTATTTATTGTTAAGCTACAAAATAGCTAACTGAAATTAATAATTTCTATTTAAATGGTGTCAATTTATCAGATTTAGTTTTAAATGTGCAGAATGTCAGTAAGTAATGGTTTCTATTTTTTTTTTTTTTAATATTAGGAAATAAATTAGCAAATTACCTATGGCAACTTAAATGTAAAATAGCATGGTAGATTTATCTTTGGCCCGTGGCTATTAATGATATTTGGTTTTTGGCTCTTCATATGAAAAAGTTTGGACACCCCTGATATAGAGCCTTGTCAAGCTGCATTGAATCCACAGTTTTGATGTTCAAACCACTGAGCACTATAGACTTCAAGAAAATAGAGACAAACTCTGCACACTTTCCTTATCCTCATCTTTTTGATGAAAGTTTTTATATTGATATGTTTGTCACACGAATTATACACGATTGGCCCCAATATACCACAATTTTAATAATAAAAGCTGAAAAATCACAGGTACATAAGTATTCACAGCCTTTGCACAATACTTTGTTGATGCACCTTTGGCAGCAATTACAACCTCAAGTCTTTTTGAATATGATGCCACAAGCCATTTTCAGATCTCTCCAGAGATGTTCAATAGAATTTAGGTCTGGGCTCTGGCTAGGCCACTCAAGGACATTTACAGAGTTGTTGTGAAGCCTCTCCATTTATATTTTGGCGGTGTGCTTTGTGTCATTGTCCTGCTGGAAGATGAACCATCGCCCCAGTCTGAGGTCAAGAGCACTCTCAAGCAGGTTTTTTATTCAGGATGTCTCTGTACATTGCTGCATTCATCTTTGCCTCTATCCTGGTTAGTCTTCCAGTTCCTGCTGCTGAAAAACATCTCCACGGCATTAGCCTGGTGATAAGTGGTGCCTGGTTTTCTCGAAACGTAACACCTGGCATTCACTCCAACGAGCTCAACTTTAGTGTCATCAGACCAGTGAATTTGGTTTCTTATGGTCTGAGAGTCCTTCAGATGCCTTTTGGCAATTTCCAGGCGGGGAGTGGCTTCCGTCTGGCCACTCTTCCATGCAGGCCTGATTGGTGGATTGCTGAACAGATGGTTGTCCTTCTGTAAGGTTCTCCTCTCTCCGCAGAAGAACACTGGAGCTCAGACAGAGTGACCATTGGGTTATTGATCACCTCCCTGACTAAAGCCTGGTTTATACTTCTGCGTCAAGTGACCGGCATAACCCACTGCGCCTGCAACGCGTGTGGCTGTGCATTTATTCTTCTGCACGCTGTCTCTGTTGGTCTGCATTAACACTTCCGAAACGCTAGTTGGCAGTGAGGTGTAAATGTTCCTCTGTGTCGAGTTTCTTCGGTGCTGTTTTGCTTTTCCTGAACACTTCCTGGATGTACAAGTGGCTCAGACTTGCTCATTTTTAGGCAGGAACCGGCGGACGTGCAACAACTTTAACTATGAGGTAAACACAAAACAAAACGTTCCATCCGGAGCTCCTTCACGGGACTCCACACTTGTAAACAATCGCTACATTGGGCTCGCGCCATTCACACGGCTCTTGGTCCCGCCCAGACTCATCAGCGATACCAAGCCGACCAATCACAGAGCTTGCGCTACGCGTTGTTGCGACTTGTAGTTACATTTTTTGAGAGGTGCACGTCAGTGACGCCGACGGCCACGGCGAAGGGCTATGCGTCAGCGCCGTAGCATACTCCGGCGTTTGACGCAGAAGTATAAATCAGCTTTAAGGCCCTTCTCCCCTGATCACTCAGCTTAGATGGCCGGCCATCCTGTCCTGGCGGTTCCAAACATCTTCCACTTACGAATGATGGAGGCCACTGTGCTCATTCGAAATTTTAGAGCAGCAGAATTGTTTCTGCAACCTTCCCCAGCCTTGTGCCTCGAGACAATCTTGTCTCAAAGGTCTACAGACAATTCCTTTGTCTTCATGCTTGGTTTGTGCTTTGACATGCACTGTTGAACCTGTGACATATAGACATGTGTATGCCTTTTCAAATCATGTCCAATCAACTGAATTTACCACAGGTGAACTCCAATAAAGCTACTGAAACAGTTCAAGAATGATCAGTGGAAACAGAATGTACCTGAGCTCAATTTAGAGCTTCACGACAAAAGCTGTGAATACTTATGTACATGTAACTTTTCATGTTTTTTACTTTAATAAAATTAAAACAACTTTAAAAAGTCTAGAATTTTGATGAAATCAATTTTGGAACAAGGCTGTAGAATAAAAAAAAATGTGGAAAAAGTGAAGCACTATTAATACTTTCTGGATACTCTGTATGAAGAGTTCAGACAGAAAAACGAAGTGCTGACTAAAGTTTCCATTGAAAATTATAATTTTTCTTAGATTCCTGTTTATGTTGAGTTATTTCTTTTTAAAGACCTTTAAAAGAGTGAATTCTTTACAATAAACTTGACATTACTGAACCTACAGACAGCAGCCAGATAATAATGCTAATTTATGAAAGAAATTTCAAATGCCTTTAGATGTTTTTGCATCTGAACTCTTCATATATTCTACATGAGTTTGATTTATGCGAGCAGCAATAGCCATGTCAAAAAGAGAAATCCAAGCAGCCAATGAAAACCATTTGATGACAACAGACGTTTGCTGTAGCCAATGAAATTGGAGAGTTGCGGTGTAGCGCTGTGGAAACTGGTATGAATTCAAGAGCACTGCTGGTAATCACTGGGGTTTATTTGCTGAAAACTGGAGCTAATCGACAGCGATTATTTACATACAGACAGAATTCACGAGAAATGTGCTCGCGGTGTCAGATTCTGAGTCTCCTGAGAGCTTTATAGCTCCATTTACACGATCTGTTCGTCTGCATTTCATCACACGATTCTGGAGAATGTAGAATTCGAGGAGTTGTGCTTTCTGTACGGTAAGCCATGACACGTTTGTGTTCCTGCTAAAATGTTCAAAATAATAGAGATGTTTGTGTGTTTTATCGTGTTGTGAGGGCGCTAAACGCATACAGTTTCCTCGTCGCAGGCCGTCAGTCGCGCTGCTCGACAACTTTCATCTCAGGTAACGTTAGATTCGGTCCTCGATTTACGACCATTTTATTCGTGTCTTCGCGTCAGGCAGCTACTGCATATGAGTGAAATACTGTGTGCAAATGTATCTACATCACAGTTGTTCGATGAAAAATGCCTTTAGTTGTGCTTGAACTGTACACGGTCACTCGTCGGGCTGACCACATATTGTAGCTCTCTCGACTTGTTGCATGATTGCAGTACGTGCACGTTTCCCACAAATTACACGTATGACGTTTTTATTAGCTTTTTGGGACATGGAACCTTTCTGTAATACCCCAAAAATGCCATTTTGTAACGGATAATGAAGTACCACCAGACATGAGCAACCAGTCAGTAAGATAATATTGTTTAAAGCTTTTTTTAATACGTCGGTTTAGGCTAAAATGCTTTCTTTTAGTTCTAATTTAGAAAGAAAGGACCAAGTTAGTTTTTTTGTATGTTTGTTTGGCTGAGGTGGGAAATAGTTTATCATAACGACCGATTATCATGATCATTTGCTCACCCAATGGCGTGAGCCTGGAGCTGTTTGTTTGATCGACCAATAAATTTGGAGGAAGCCTGTTAGACAACCGTCTCATTTGTAATTGATGGCAAAACTTAATCAATTTATCAAACACAACAAACTTCTACAGAAATGTAATTTCGTAAGAGATTTTTTGATCCCAGTTCATACACATCTGTATAAAAACAACTAATTGTATTATTCATGTCAGGACAGTATATATTGTTTTTTTCAGGCCATAAAAAGCTGTTGTGGTGTAAGTGATTGGCAGAAACACGCAAAATGTTTACGTAAAAATAGTGTAATCACCCTCTAAATGAGCAGTAACATGTCAGTCCTTAATAGTTTACGTGACACTAAGTGCTCAAGTTCATTACAAATGTATTGAACATTTTTAAAAAGCCAGCCTGAATATGTGTCTTTTGCCTTTGCGTGGCTTTAGTTGTTTCAGCATATTTTCTATAAATTTACAATCAATGAGTTGTGATTTCTTTGTTAACAACTTTATGTCGAGATTGCACTCAAATTTCTGGAACAATTTTCCTTTTTAATTATTATTTTGTTTTGTTAACAATAAGGCAGGTGACAGGTGTTTTTGTGACATACATTGCAACAAAAGTCAACCACAGACGCTGCTTGCAACAGGATGTTTTGGTGTTAATGGGCTTTCACTTGTACATGTTTTTTTTTTTTTTTTTTCAAGTTTAAAGTTCATGTGTGTGAAAGGTGTTGTAGAAAAAAAAAAAAACAGAAGCAGGAAGTATTACCTGCACACATGGAGGTACAACTGTAACCAAAAAAGTAGATCACTACTGGTCAACCACATTCACTTAAAGTCAAAGTAAACAACATTTACACTGAAGCATTTTTGTGTGTAAATATCATTTTAATACATTGATTTGTGTTTTTTTGTTAATGAAGAATAATAATATAATTATTACATCATATAAACCGTGTTAAATATTTTAAGCCCAAAAGGTTTTGAATCTTTGTACAAGATTATTCTACATTGAACTTTTATCACTGGAAATTGTCACTTTAACTAGAAATTA